AGAAAAGTCGAAAAATATAAGAAACTTAAAAAAGTAAAGAAACTACAAGATATGTTCCATGACATGGCAGAAAAGAGGGAGAAGACGACAAGAAACGAGGGGCGTTTCACCGACTCATCAGGAGGCTGAACCCTATATATATATGATATGCCCCCCATGAGTAGCTTTTTCTAAAAAAAAAAAAAAAGAATTAAAAATTTAAAAAAAGAAAAGAAAAGAAAAATCAATCACAAGGGGGGAAAAGAACAGATCAAAGCGGAGGGAGGAAAAAAGAAAAAAGAAAAAAGCGAAAAAAAAAGAAAGCCTAACTGCACGTTGGAGTAGCAGCAGCTGCCGGAGCGAGTACGGAAATACTCGCACGGCGACTCTTGCGACTGAATATGGCCGGAAATCCGGTCAGATGCATCTAGCTGCAAGGATATGCCCAAAGGGATGCACACGCGCTCCATCCAGGACAGAAAAGAGTTCAAATAATAAACGAAAGCTTGACACATTAAAAAAAAAAAAAAAAAAAAAGGTTGACACATTAAACGAATGTACAAAACTAAACAAATAAGTCACATTCATAGAGGAAAAAAAAGAAAAAAAAAAGAAAACGCATACGACAATCGAGCGATCACCAAAAAAAAACAACCCTGAAGCGATTTAAAATCGAACGAATGCAAAAGGGAAAAAAAAAACAATGTAAACGAAAAATGACCCCGTACTTAGGGGAATAATGCCAAAAATAATGCAAAATTTGAACCGAGGAAACGAGAGCGTGAATGTGGTCACTTTTCATCCCCCATGTGGCATGCATGGGCCAGGGTCCTCACAGTCTTTTCTTTTTTTTTTTTTCCGTGGGGCACCGTTTGTTTTTTCAATGCTTCTATTTTTTTATTTTTTTTTTGGTCTGTAATGCAGGCCAGGTTCACCCATCTGTTCCTGCTATGCTAAGCGGCCAGGTACAGCACAACTGTGTGCTATGCGGGTCGTGCGGGATTGGGCTTTTTTTTTTTTTTTTTTTTTTGAGTTCAAAAGATATGAAATGAATCTGTTCCAGCTTCGACCGAGACCGAGCCCGCTCTCACCATAGCACTGCTGTGTACTTACCGTAATTCTGTGCTAGGGTGGCATGAACCTGATCCGTAATGCCAATCAGGTTCATGCGGCCCGCGCTTTCGCTCACCTGTACCTTGCTTGTACTATAACGGGCAGGTTACAGTAGTAGCGCCCATTCACCGAGTGCTATCGTTGTGCGCATTTGCTTTGCTATTGTTGTTTGCATTTGCTTTGACCTGAAGAACCTGGCCAGAATCTGGACCGAATTTAGATTACATTCATGGTTGGCCCACTTACCTCGCAATAGCAAGCATCCCCCATGTCTACAAAATTAGCTAGGCTAGCCATCCTCTGCCATGGGGCCGGTGCTAATCTTCTCTCCCTCATTCCAAGGTGCTCTTGTGACTCCTGTCAATATCTTCCTGGGAGTTAACCTTCTCCCATGTTTCTTCTTCTTTTTCTTCTTCTTCTTCTTCTTCTTCTTCTTCTTCTTCTTCTTGGGCTTCTTCTACTTTCTAACGATGTGTGTTGTGTGTGTGTGTTATGTGTGTGTGTGTGTGTGTGTGTGTGTGTGTGTGTGTGTGTGTGTGTGTGTGTGTGTGTGTGTGTGTGTTCAAAGCACCCTAAACTAACTCTCTCTCTCACTATCCT